AATTTTTCCCTGGGGCGCGAGTTCTGGCGCATTCTGTATACATTTTGAAAAATATAATTGATTGATAAAGTAAAAAATTATGAATGTATTTCAAGAAAATTTTTCGATTTTTTTTGTGTTTGAGTTCTGCAGTCTAATTATACAAATGGCAAACCACTATAAAACCTTGTTTTTACAAAGATTTTGATCTAAGGATTATAATTATTTACATTTTATTCAATTTTTATAGAAAAAAAATCATATAAGTTGCCATTTTGAAAAAAAAAGCATAACTCAAAAACAAAACAAAAAAATATTCAAAAAAAATATTATTTTCGTTCCATACTTTCTGTTTAGCTTGTATGACTTCACTAATTTATTTTTGTTTGTTTATTAGACAAATAAAAATTATTTATTATGAAAAATATTGCGCCACACTGTAGACACATTTTTAGACATTATTCAAAATTAAATTTTGTTTACCAGTAGATTAAAGAACTTGAAAAAATACAAATTGTAACAATATTTTATTTTTTTATCTAGTTGTCATTTGAAACATCATAGTTCCCATTTCTGGTGTCACAGCCAACTTCGTGACATAATTTAATCCGAAAATCGTCCCATTTCGGCCAAGTTTATTATGCTTATTTGGGCTACAAAACTATGTCGAAACTTAGTTGCCACATTTATCTTTGTATCCTTATTTAGGCATACTTCCCAAATGTTTATGGCAACACTGTTGCTTTTTTTTCTACTCATTATTTATAATTGAGGAATTTTAATGGTCGTTGGAGGTCATGTTATTATTATTGTTATTATAATTTTTTTATTTAATATACTTAACGACAATTTAATGGCGTCTTTTTTTTGTTGTCTAATTTTGACAGTTATACACGACCAACTTGATTCTTCGTGTGTCTACAGTGTTGTACTTACGTAAATAATTGATTAATTTGATGCCTGAAGCAAAAACCCAACCGAATTGCTTCGAGCACCGAACAGCAATGTCAGCAAACGTCTCGAAAATCCCAAGTAGACTGGGAAAACAATCTCTTGTCTCGTTCTAGAGCGGTGGGGTTAAAGCTCCGCCTACCATTCACAAACCACCTCTCCCACTTCGTAGTGCTAAATTTTCGTATTGTTTCAAATCGCTCCCACCACGCCCGAGGGCAGTAATGGCCGCTTTTTTCCACCAATGACACACAGGTCACGTGCTATGGCCATACCTCCTTCTCGACTATCACGGGGGTCATTGCTTTGTCCGATTAGGAAAATTTTCCTGTTTCTTTTTTTTTCGTTGTTGGTACGACTGGACGTACCTGGAATTCGATTGATCGCCGGTTTCCGGCGAGATGGCGCTGATTACAAATGTGTACAGGATTACGAAAGTCGAGACGGTTATCTAAATTTCAAGGTCAATGGAATCTGGGTCGATTTCGGAACATATGGGTCTGGGGCCCAGATTTGGTGCGGTTTGTGGCGAAGTAGACTTTGGATGGGAAAATTCCAAGGCACACTTGATTTTTTTTTGTTCAATAATAAATCAAACATAGTTATGAGGAAGAGACTGGAATTAAATAAAGTTCAAAGGTCGAGTAGCTTAATTTAGATTTTAGTACTACGAAAATATGAATTTTGTCTGTTTGGGAGATTTTATCGCTTCAAGTTGGGAGTATTTTTGTGACAAAGTCGCGATAATTTATGCGACTTTTAAAAGTTTTCAGGGAGTTAATCGTTTTATTGTCAAATCGATTCGTTCTTTCGGTGTTCACAGTCTTAATTTTATTAAAGTGTTAAAAATATATAACTCATGTTGGTAAAAATGTAAAGTTTTGAGAGGATACAGGGACCGTGATTCGGCTAAAAATATTGAGATTTTTCTCGAAGCAAGTTTAGAAGAATTACTCTTTAGAGAAAGAAAATTAAAATACATATTGTAATTCGTTGAACATGTGTAATTATTTGAAACATTGTACAAAATGTTTTCAAAATTATTATTGTTATTAGGATTATTATTAAATATAAGTTTCTTTTGGTTGATTAGAACCGTTTTTATTTTTTGTTTTATTATTGTAATTATTATACATATTTTATTATTATTATGACATCAAATTAAACAAATTTTAATCAAAATCATTGAATCCTAAATATGCATCGGTGAAGCAATTAAAATTATTGATTTTTAATTTTTATTTATTTCCATCTCATGAATAAACATTTCCAACAAACAACTTTTGACATTTTGAAGTTATTGTTATAAAAATTATTATCGCTTAATGGAACAAACACGTAATATGTAACAAATGAAAAATACGATTATTAGTCTGATAAAGGCAACATTTTTGGGATTATAACGACGAAAAAGAAATCAACTTTAATTAAAAAACTCATTATTCAGATTTCTTCCATAAATAAATAAATTATTAATTGAAATTATAAGTATTCAAAATGGATTTCTTCCATGTTATTGTAAGAGGAGTAAATAAATACGTTAACAAAACTCGGAATCATAAACACGAATGTTTTTCGTCTCTTAAAAATAATCTTTGAAATTGCATTGAAAAGTTTTTCCATCGACGACAAGCTTTTATAGCGGATTTGGACAAAAAATTTTCAACTTGAATCTCGTCATGCATTTAGGAGACTTCCAAACACGAAAAAACTTTTCAGAGTCGATACACAGTATGTCCTGAAATCACAAATCGATATAAAGTGAAACGACTTTTTAAAAGATGAAAAATTCGCAATTCTCAATTTTGAAAAATTAACTATAGAATATAGAAATTAAAAAAAAAAACAACTTTTTTTTGTAGAGTAAATTGATATATATGTGACAAGGTTATTAAGAAAAATTGTTTAGAATCAACAACTAGGCTCCTACGGCCAACTTCGATTTTTCATTTTTTTATGTTTATTATTTCACAAATCAAAGAATTTTATTTTAACAGTTCTTGTGTTATGATTAAAAAAATACACAAAAAATTTAATAGTAGGTAAATTTTATTAAATTCTTTTTACAAATTTGTACGAAAGAAAATTAAAAATCATAGTTGGCCGACGATTTTAAAATTTGGTATAGCTAGAAAGGTAGGGCGCCAAAATTTTTAGTGGGGCTAGAACAGTTCTGATGCAGTTTTGTATAGTACACGTTAATTTTTTAACTATAATGTAACTGAAAGGTTCTAAATTTTAATTTAAAAAAACAAAAGAAGTACATTCAATCAAATTTAAAACAATTAATTATTGTTATGATCCTAAAATAATAATAGTAATAATCCTAAATAATTTGATATAAGTTTATATTATATAAGAACCTACATTTTTTTTAGCCTGCATTTTATTCAATGGCTAATTGGTAATACAGACTGTCAAAAATAACGCACAAAATTCATATCTTTGTTATGAGTCATTTTTCAAAAAAATCCTCGAACCGGTCGATTTTATTTTTAAATGCTATATTTTCACATTATAGTGATATTTATGACGTCATTCGTTTTTGAGACGTCATTTTTAATTTTTTTAAATGACAACTGACATTTTTGTTCACTGTTTTAAATAGCACACGTTTTTATCTTTCTGGTAATAAGAAAAAAAAAATAAATAAATAAAATTTAACAAAAAATATAAATTTGAAAAAATAAACATATTGACATTTATACAGGGTGAATATAAAGTATGGAACCAAGCGGTTTTATTTTTAATCATTTGCCTCCAGCAAATAATAATTAATATAAATTAAAGTAATATAAAAAATGTGATCGTATTTTCAGAACGAAATTTTGTTTTGTTTTTGAGTTATGTGATTTTTTTTTGTCAAAATTGCAACTTATGTGTAAAAATTGTTTTCAAAAAATTAAATATAAAGCGGATAGTTGTAATCTTTAGACTATAGCTTTTATGAGAAAAATGATTTTATAGTGGGTTGCCATTTTTTTTTGTAGAACTCAAAACAAAAGGAAATTTTGAAAAATTTTATTCTTGTTAAATTATCACATTTTTATAGTACTTTATCACCCATCAATTAGTTTTTTGAAGAAATAAATAGTTTAATCAAAAAATGTTTGGTTCCATACTTTTTATTCAGCTGGTATAAACACAAAAGGCTTTATCTTTATGTTCTTGCTTTATTTTATATAAGGGGCAATTGTTATTTGTATATTTTTTTTAAATCATTAGCATGAAAACATTTATCTAATATGAAACCCTAAACACAAAAAAATAAAAACAAAAAAACAATCGCCCTTTATAAAATAAAGCAAGAACAAGAAGATAAAGTACTGTATAACTTTTTAAAGTTTTTTTTTTATTTACTTTTTTTTTGGCTTTTTTTTTGCTTTATTTTTTTGAAACGTTTTCATGCTTACCAGAAAGATAACGATGTGTACTATCTAAAACAGTAATAAAAAATGTCGGTTGACATTAAAAAAAAAACAATGATGTCATAACTCGATAACTAACGACGTCATAAATGTTATTATTGTGTCAAAATGTAGCATTTAAAAAAATTAAATCGATCAGTTCGAGAAATTTTTGAAAACCCATAATAAAGATATGAATTTTTTGCGTTACTTTTGGTTCATTCTGTATTTTTTATTTGTTTATTTATTCTGTAATGTCAAAAAGAGAAAAATACGACTATACACAATTACAATAGTACATAGAACATATAACAGATAAATGCAAAATTTAGTACAAACATTTAATATAATGAAATTATTATATTATTATTATAATTTTATGTGTTATTATTTCTAAAGAAAGTTGTTAAAAAAGACAAAGTTTTAAAATACGGTTCAGAATATTCAAAGTAGGGCTCTGGCCTACTTTTGATTTTGATTTTAAATAACTTTTCTTAATAACTTTAGAGTGTTTGCCACTTAAAAGGCATTTTACAGTAAAATAACTTTTTTTTCAAAAATTTCAATTTAGTTCGAGAATTTTTTTATCTTTTTTCAAGAATCGTTTCACTTATCCAGGTCCACACTGTATAGCACGTCCTGAAACTTGTACTTTTCTTTCAGACCGAACCACAGCCAAGCCACGACGGACATTTACAAGCCTTCGCGGTCGCCATTGTCGACAACAGCCCGTTACTCCTACCCCGCATCCCCCCAACTCCCCCAATCGCAGCCCCCGACCATCAGTCAGGTGCAAGTGTCTCAACGGTACCCTCCGGGAACGGCGATCTACACTGGTGGTTATCGTGACTACCGCCCCCAACGTATCTCCCTCTTACATCCCGAATATGCGAGCGGAAGGGCCCGGGAGACCCTCCCGGGTGGGGCGGGAGTCGTACATCTCGACAGCGTCTCCCAGGGACAACAGCCCATCAAGAAGATACGCCTGCAGGAGCACAAGGATAACACCCAACCTTTGAGGATCGATACGAGGGTAAGAGAAAAAAAACTTGTATGCGTGTCGTGAGTGAATGAAAAATATATGTGTTATTTAAAGGAGCAGCCGGGCACGTACAACCCCCAAGTGGAGGCTATTTCGCCCACCTTCCCCGACCACCTCCAACAAGAAGAGCAAACGTTTCGTACGACCAAAGACGAGCTGATCCAACAGATCGGTAAAGTCGATCGCGAGATAGCAAAAGCCGAAAGTCAGATAACGATTTTAAAGAAGAAAGAAAAAGAATTAGAAGAAATAGCAAATAAGCCGTCCGTTAAATCCGAAGTTGAAGAAGATGCCCAACCGAAGCATCAAAGTCTTCCGCAGAAGATCTATGCGGAAAATCGGAAGAAAGCGCAAAGTGCGCATGCGAAATTAGATTCGTTAGGGCCGAAAGTCGAATGGCCTTTGTACAATCAACCGAGTGATACAGCGGTGTATCATGAAAACAAAAGGAAACATATGGCTTTTAAAAAGCGACTTTTGGAGTATTTTAAGCGAAGACATGCAGAGAAAGACGCGAGAAATGCCTATTTGACAGAAACGTACAGTAAATTGATGCAAGAATGGCTGAGAAAAGTCGATAAGATTGAGAGTAGTACGAAAAGAAAGGCGAAAGAGGCGAAAAATAGGGAGTTTTTCGAGAAGGTGTTCCCCGAATTGCGGAAGCAAAGAGAGGATAAAGAAAGGTACTTTCAAGCTTTAATCAGGCATAAACACTACTTTTCTAATCGATTGTAAATTTTTGTATGTATTGAGACATTTTTCTAAACACTGACTGTCCTTTTAAAAATTTTGATTTTCTTTTGTTTCGATATGAGGAAATAGTATAATTATATCACAAGGTAGAGAAGAGATTTCTTAGTCGAGATGCGTAGCATAAGATAAGAATCTTTTTTCTATTTCGGTGTTAGAATAAGTCGTTGGAATAATTTTAGTGACGGACTTTCTTCACAATTCATTTTCAAAGTGAAATTAAGAATTATTTTTATTTTTTACAGCCGCCTAAAATTATTCCACATAAATGTCGCCAACCGTCGCAAAATTCTCTAGAAAAAAAATAATAAAATTTATGTTTTTTAATTTATAAAATTCAAAATAGAAAAAATAGTATAAAGCACTTGTTGCAGAAGGTTCTTTAAGCACTCATTTGTTCCTCAACTCGCCGCTACGCGGCTCGTTTCGGAATTTCAAATTTGTGCTTGAATAAGATACCTTCTGCAACTTGTACTTTATTATACTATTCTACCGGGTTCTATACAATAATTTTTCACTATTAGCACGTTTAGTATTGAAGAATACAATGAAGAATATAACCTTACTTAATGGGCATGTTGTCTCAGACGTAATATGTCGTAATTCACAACTATTATATTTTTGTTCTTTATTATTACCAACACTAATTACTTACGTGAGTTATTAACTTAAGTTGGAAGTATTATTTTATTCTTATCGTAAATGAAGTTACCGTCACTTTTTTACTTTTATACATACAGGGCTTTCATTTCAAAAGGATCCAGTCTCAATAACTTTTGACATTGAGTAAATGTATTTTCAAGCAAAAACAGGTCGATTAGGATCCCGAGGGGAAAGTTGAAAACCAACATTAGTTACATTTTAAGTTTCATCCCCTTGTCGCTAAATGGCACCCCCTACTTTTTGAAACATTTTCAGAAAGGGAATAAATGAGCGTATCTAACTGTCAAAGAATTTTTTTGTCGATGCGTTTTTTAGTTAAGGGTGGTTTAATTTTTGAAATTTTTAGTTCTAGTAGCCTTTGATTGAACTCAATTTAATTTAAATAAAAGTAATTTTTTAATTAACTGAACTGTCAAATGGTAAATTTTCGCTGAATTGTTGACACCACCGCTTTCTTAATAAAATGTATTAGATGACAAACCAAAGTTAAAGGCTACTAGGACTGATGGAAATTTCTAAAATAAAACTACCCCTAACTCAAAAACGAATCGACAAAATATTTTTTTTTTCATTTACGATTAGATAAGCTTTATTCCATCCCTTCCAAAAATGTTTCAAAAAGTTGAAGGGGCCCTTCAAAATTTTAAAGTAAGGGTGGTTAGTGATTAGGGGATGAAACCTAAAACGTATTTAATGTTTGTTTTGAATTCTCCCATCGCAATCCAAATCGACATATTTTTTATTTAAATTAAATTCAGTTCAATCAAAGGCTACTAGGACTGAAAATTTCAAAAATAAAATCAACCCTAACTGAAAAACGAATCGACAAAAAAAAAATTCAAAAGTTATTGAGACTGGTTCCTTTTGAAATGAAAGCCTTGTATATTAAAGGAATTTTTTAACTTCATAATATGAAATATTTGTTAAAATAATATAATAGAGTGGGGTAAAAAGCCAAAAGTACACATCTGATGTGCATATGCATTTAGAACGTTTCAAAATGATTGACATCTCGGTAGGTTATGGAAATTCAAAATTTTTCATTTGTTTCAATTGTTCATTTTTGTACGTGTACACCCACTGGTTGAAGGATACGTCCCTTTAACAATTGTGACATTTGTCGTTTTTAAGAAATTTTGAGCTTAATCTCTTCTCTTTTCTTTCTGTTCCACGTTTCTTGCACATTTTTTTTTGGACAAATAAGTTATGCAAGAATTCAACTGAAATGTCATTTTTATGACGTATCGCAATCTAACGAATGTTCACATTAGTACCTTTTTTTGGAGCTAAAATTGAAGTCTGGTTTACACTCTCAATGCCTACCGAGATGTCAATAATTTTGAAACGCGTTATAGTTGACCAAAACGCGTCTCGGACGTTTTGTTTTTGTAAGCAGTGGCGTTTGAGATTCGCTATATTATTGCAATATTTGGGACAGAACGCCACTGGTCAGCGTCCCTTTTTATGTTAAGGCTCCACCCAGGTGTGTACTTTTGACTTTTACTCCACTTTAACTGCAAAGAAAAGGGAAATTGTGTTAAAATTTGTCCCACTACTGGTAATATTTCAACATAAAATAAGCCCATTGTTGTTTTGACAGTTTTCATAAAGACAAAGGATTAGAGGTGGGATTGTTCTAAGGAAGTTTAAGTATTTTTTTTAATTGATTTTACATTAATTTTATCTCGAAATACCGGATGACTGTAAATGATTGTGATTTTTTTACCTCATGTTGGTGTCAACGTTAAAATTTTAGTTTGACAACTTTGACTTTCAAATTCAACGTCAAACTTTTAGAGGCAATTGTCATTCATTTGCCACGGGCGACTGATGATTTAGCCGTCACCTGAAACATTCTGATATTACAAATTAAAAGGATTTACCAATAATTCAGTGTTGCCAATAGAATATTTTGTCACACATACTAATAGTCACCTGGTACTTGCATTAGTACTTGTGATGATAATTGTTTAAAAAAAATAATATTCTAATTATACAGGGTGTTTTAGAACTCGCGCCTCTAAGAAAAATACCATGTAAGGTAAAATACCAGGGACATTAAAAAATATTCTAGCTATAAACATTTCAATGTTTAAATTTTGCACTTTGACTCTATTTATTGCTATTTTTTTGCTACAGGCTATTAGAAGAGGAAACAAGAAAACTGTATCCTAAATAGTAACTGTTTAATATTATTTGTGACTTTAATTGGCAAAATGTTTGTACCGTTACTAAATAATTATAATAAAACATATACAAGAAGATTAGTGACATTAAATAGACAAAAAATGTCAAATTATAAATGGCAAAAATTTTTGACAGCTAGGATTTTTAAACGTTTTTTTAATGTTTTTGGTATTTTATCTCACTTGAAAAGTTCCTCTGGAGTGGGAGGTCTGAAACACCCTGTATACCCTCCAATACCCACCTCTAATTCATTATTCTCCTTGGTCAATAATGACAATGATCACTAGGAGAGACAAACCACTTTCCAACTTCTCGAACAAACTAAATAATGGTACTTTTACAACTAGTGAAAAATTGTTATTTATCATACAAGACGATAAAAGAAATTGTTTATCTACGAGTGAAAAGGTTAAGTTTAGGAGTGACTTTTTTCACGAGTAGATAAACAATCTTTATCGTTGTGTATAATATTTCCTTTTATTTTGTACTCACCTAACAGAATTTCTTAAATATAAACAGTAGATAAAAATTACTTTATTTTACTAGACGATAAAAGACTACTTTATCTACTGAAATTAGTTGATAAAAGCACTCTTTAACATTGAGTACAAAATAAAAGTAATAATGCTGTTTTTGTTGAAATTGATAGCAACACTATTTTTACCAGTGACTGTACATCATGTTTAAATTATCAACAATAATGTCATAAGAGAGTGGGAATGAATTGAAAATGTTGCCATGCAGTAGACTTGAGAGCTCGAAGGGCAACAGCAATATACAAAAGTGTTTTTTGTGATTTTTGAATGACAAAACTAATGTTATGCATTTTATTTTTAGATTTAATCGTGTTGGTGCTCGCGTGAAGAGCGAGGCGGACATGGAGGAGATAATGGACAACCTCCAAGAGCAAGCAATGGAGGATAAAAAAATGCGTAGTTACGCCGTCATCCCACCTATTCTTCTCGATTCAAAAGAACGCAAAATTACCTATCAGAACGACAACGGCTTCATTGAAGACATGGAAATGGTGTACAAAAGTCGACAATTTCTTAATATATGGACTCCCAGTGAAAAAGAAGTTTTTAAAGAGAAATACCTCCAACATCCGAAAAATTTCGGTGTGATTGCTTCGTTCATCGAACGAAAATCGGTCGCGGACTGTGTTCAATATTATTATCTTAGCAAAAAGACCGAAAATTATAAACAACTTTTGAGAAAATCGAGACAGAGGACGCGCTCGTCGAGGAACAACACGCAGAAGGTCAACAGTAGTGCAAACACTTCGGTTGTGGATATTTTAACGACAGGTAATTTAGCAAAAAATTGAATAAAATTGTTTAAATTTTTTTTTGTAGGGGTTACGACTCGCTTGCAACGGGAGCAGCAACAGCAACGCACAGTCGTGCAGCAAAATCGCGAGCCGACGACGGAGACGCCTCCGACGTCCACCGCCCCCACGTCCGTCCCAACGACTACGACGGCCGCCGCCACCACTACGACGGCGAGTTCGACGCCGCCATCAACGAGTCCTTCAGCTACTTCAACATCCGTGGCCGTTCCCACCACAGCGGCGACTGTTACAACCGCCTCCACGACGACGACAACAACGACTGTGGTTTCCAGTGGGACGCCGGTTATGTCGACGGCGGCGTCGGTGGTTACGGCTGCAGCGCCGCCGACGTCGCCCAAACCTGCCGATAATGCCACCGTCGACGCCGACGCCACCAAGACGACCACCTTCAATGAATTCAATTCGACATTCGACGATTATCGAAGTCAAAAGTTTTTTGGGGACGACGCCAAGGGGGACGGTAGCGCGACGGCCGCTGACGCGGCCCACGATGGCGTCGTCGTCACGGTAAAGAAAGAAAATGAGCCGTCGGTACAGGAAGTCGCCAGGTAAATCATCTACATGGTGATTCAAAATTGTTTTTTTTAATATTTGCGATAATACAAGCAAAGTGCTGCCACCTAGTGCGTAGAGGCTTTGCATACGGTATTGATTTCTCTTGTGTTTAGTGCAGAATTCTCCAATGAAATACCTTCTACAGTTTGTAGATGCAAATTATAGCAGATTTCTGTAATTTAATTTATCTCATATTTTATGGTACTTAAGTTACTTAATGCAGAGAATTAAATAAATCATAAACTTGGGGTTTCAAGAAAACAGCAGAGATATACAGGGTAATGGTGGCTTTTAATATAGTATAAGCTGACAATTTTAGAATTTTTGTAAATATAATTGTAAATTTTGGGCTATATTCAACTTTCTAATTTTAATAAGTAGGGACCATTTTTTTTTTCATGATTTGATACAGACATGTGCAATATGTTCTACTTTTACAAAAAAATATTCTTGAGACAAATTATTAAAGTTGAAAAAAAAGTTAATAAATTTTAGCTGCATGGTGTCAGTAAAAAAATTGACGTTAACAATTATTTTATTAAAAGTAACAAAATATAAATAATAATAAAATTAATCACACTAAATTATATTTATGTTTCTCGTATTTGTTATAATAATTAATTATTATTTTCATTTCCTACTGAAATTTTGAAAAGTATTGGCAATATTTTTTTTATTTACTGCTTTTTGACATTGTTTTATTTAAATAATTATTTTTTTTGACTTCTATTATTTTTTTAAAGAGTAATTTCTAGTAAGTGAAACTTACATATCGACTCTCCCAACGAAAACTTATAGTACTCATAAAACTCATAAAAATTGGTTTTTGAGTTACGATGGCTATAAAAAAAAGAAAAAAATTTTTTGAATAAATAAATTGTTTACCAAAATTTAGACGTTCAGTAATTTTCAATAATATTTAACAGTTCCTTGATTTTTTATTAACAATCAAAGATTTAGTGCAATTTTTCTTAAACTTGTAATTTTTGAGTTGCTATAGTTACTATAGTATAAAATTAGAAGGTTCAATATAGCCCAAAATTTACTATAACATTTACAAAAATTCTAAAATTGTCAGCTTATATTATATTGAAAGCAATTTAATTTATTTTTTTAATTCTTGAAATCGGACCAAAAATATAAGTTCTACAGTGCTTGCCATTTAAAAAAAAATCATCATTCTGTATACAGAGTGCACCAGAACTCGCGCCCCAAAGAAAAATGGTAAAATGCCAGAAACACGGAAAAAATGTTAAAAAAATTTTATCTTTAAAAATTTCGAAGTTATGAGAGTTTAAATTTAGCACTTTGACGCTATTTATTTCTGTTTGAAAAATAATTTTCCAAATTTTTTTGCTACAGTCTATTAGAAGAGGAAAGAAAGAAGCTGTGTCCTAAATTGTAACTTTGTTCAATGTTATTTGTGGCTTTTATTAACAAAATTTTTGTACTTTTAATAAATAATTGTAAAAAACACATATACAAGATTATCAGTGTCATTAAACAGATATAAAAAGTATCAAATGTCAAAAAATAAATATCAAAATTTTTTGAGAGAGAGTTTTTTAAACATTTTTTCCATGTTCCTGGTATCCTATCTTACTTTAAATTTTTCTCTGGGGCGCGAGTTCTGGCGCACCCTGTATAGGGAAGGATTGAACTTTTGATACAGCCTGTATACCATGTTTAATATTATCTTTATTCGATTAAACTTACAATTCAATTTCATTATTAAATCCAAAAAATTATTATTATGCCTGGTGTTTTATTAAAAAAACAATTTTTTTTTGGCACATGTGGAAAATTTTGCGGACGTTAATAAAAATTTACATTTGATCAACACTTCTTTTCTACCAATTTTAAATAAAAGTTTAATAGAACGATAAAAATTGGAGTGAGTTAATTTTTGGATACATTCTGTATACTTTATTGAATCAAAATTTATTTATGAATTGTTTATTTAATGAAAGTTTGATTTTCTCTAACCAATTAAATGACAGTTTAGTGATATTGTCACATTACTGAACCAAGAAAATGTAACATGTATACTATAATGGGTGTTTAAAAAAAATCAAAAATAATTTTTTGAATAACGAGAAGTGCAAAATAATTTTTATTTTGTCAACAAATCACATGTAACATACTTATGATTATTAATTTAAAATAAGCACACGAGGAGTAATTGGGTGTAATGATGGTTCATCCTGTATATATTCTATTTATTTAAATTTTATTTTTTAATCAATTAAAACAATGATTTTGAACAGAGTTTTATTAAAAATAAAAAGCATTGCGTATAATAATATTATAGTATACAGAGTGTTTGGTTGAAAATTAGAAAATCATTCTTTGGTGACAATCTCTCAGCGTGTTAAAGTCATTATCGACTTGATTGTTAATTTTTTATCACGTGACACATTACCAATTTAATGCATTTCATCTCTCATTCTCTCCGAACGTCAATTGTTTGCCTGAATTGGACCAATCATATTCATCGTTTCGTTTTTCCGGTATCGCGATTCGCGAAGTCAATTAAAACTCGTCAATTTACAAAATTGATATGTAAGTTTGTTCGATAATTGTGCAGTCAGCAGTAATACCAACTCCCCAGTGGCAAAGAATCACTCCCCTAGATTGTAATGCAAATCGTGTTTGTCTCTCTCCGCCAGAGAATCAAACACCGGGATTTTAATCAGAAATATTGCCACACACAATCTCTCCGAGGAAATTTCATTGAATTATTATTTAAAATCTGGAAAAAATTTTTTTTTCGTATTTTTGCAGTGGCGACCAGACGTCCTCTGCGACTCCAACGGCGATCGCCGAAACTAAAAAGAAGAAAGAGAGGAGAAAAGACAAGGAGAACGCCAATGTGGAAACTAGCGATGAAGAAAATGCCGATATACCAGGTGAGTCAGAAAAATAATAGCCGAAATTTTATCATACATTTATTGAGTGAACAAGTGACAAGTGACAGTTTAAATGTCATTATTGACAGCTTCGACGTCTATAGCACTACCACTGTCACTATTTTCGGGTAACATTTCGTTGTTTTTATTATTATTATCGGCCATTTCGTCAGCGTGACACATTTTGCGATGTTTGTGAACAAAATAATAACTAGGGAATTTCGATCCGCAAGTCTTACAAGGGTAATACTGAACGTTCATGTCTAGTAACTTAACCTCTCTTTTGTTTTCTTTGGGCACCGTTGCCACATTTTTCCCATCAAGACTGACCGGATTTAAATGCCTTCGGGCATGTTTCTGGTAACAATACTGCGATTTAAACGTGTGATTACAATACAAACAAGTGAACATCTCGGTGCCTGCTTGATTCTCATCTGACATTTCTCCCCGATCTCTGATATTTTCCGTCATCACCTTATTCATTGCTGCATTTCTATTAACCTCATCCACTTGATCGTAAACATTTTCACTTTGCGTTTGTTGTCCGTAGTTTTTATTAATCACTCGATGAAATCTCACAGGTCCATCGCAGCAGGCGATATCGATGATAACCTTCTCCCCTCCATTCGTGCCGCTACTGGTTTCGCTTCGGCGTTTTTTCGTTTTTTCGCTTTTCGGTTTTTCGGTCGTCGGCGGTATATCTTCGATTTTCGACGTCGATGCTCGACTTTTTTCCTGTGTGACAGTTTTAAAAGGCGTGGCTTCGGATTTTTTCAAATGACTATAAGTCGGGGGATGGATTTGTTGGGTGGGCGGTGCGGTTTTACGACTTGGGATTGGTTTGATAATCGAGGGGCGGGGAAAAGAGGGTTGGCTTTGGAGGAGGAAGGAGCGGCAGATTTCAAGGGCACGAGGCATGTGGAGGATGTGAGTGGCGAGGAGGATGTTGTAGATGTTGCTGAGGTTGAGGTCTAAGTACCCGGTGTACATGAATGTGAGGAGGGACGAGAATTCGTCGACGTTGACGTTGGGGACGGCGATGGGGGCGGCGTCTAAAAAAATTTCATGACCAATAAAAAAATATCAAAACACGATTATGTTTCTTATATGAAGGTGCATTACGGTTCTTTTTTTTTGTGGCCAACGAAGCGACTAATTTTTTTTAATGTTAAGTGGAAGTAGGTATAAAAGAAAATTTGTAATTTTTATAGTTTTGAGAAATCTAATTTCTGCACAAAAATTGAATTGAATTTAGTTTTTATGAGATTTTTTGAAATTTTAGTGTAATTCCAAGTTAAAATCAGTTATAATTTCGTAAGATTTACGTAATTCATTAAAACATGTTGCAAAAAATCCAGGAATTATTAAAAAAAATATGTTTCAATTGAATACAGGATGTTTAAAAAAGATTGTAAAATATTTCAGGAGGTAACCAAAGTAACGGTTTCGGAGATATCAAAAATTATTTGTTTTTTGAAACATTTATTTGCAATCTGTTCAAACAAAAGAGAGAAGCTTCTAGTAAACATTCCAAAAATTTTCACATTCCATATCTCCGAAACCGTTACTTTGCGGACCCATGTTTATTAAGACTTTTTTGTTTATTTTGATCCATACTATTACCTCCTTTACAATCATTTTTTAACTCCCTGTATGTATTTGTAAACTGAATTAAATAATTTTGATACACTTGAGCGAAGTTTTTATTCTTGATTTCGCTTCGATCTCAAATTGTAATAACTTTAATTCCCAATTGAACTACTTATTTAAATTATTCAAATGTAATTAATTTAAAATTTGACGTTTCTGTTTATCGAAAATGCAAAAATAGAATGTTTTTTGTAAATACAATGTTTGATGTCAATATAAATAATCCGTTTTGCATTTTTACCAAAACAATTGAAATTGTTTATAAATGCGAATTAAATTTAATATAATTATTTATTTTGTCAGTTTTGTTCGCCAATAATTTGGTATAAAATGAAGGTAAATAAATAATTACGCGATAATAATAACTAAATTTAAATTAATTACCTGTGTGATTAAGTAATGCCGCTTTAAAAAATCCGCTATGCATCTCGAGTACGGCCTTATGTGCGGCAAAGTGTGTCATTTGTGGGCCTACTTGTAAGGCGACGTCGGGCGCCCCTTGAGCCGGTGCTGTGAGATTAAGGGGCGCCGGAGGCAGGGCCGGAATGGGACAAGGCCCCAACGACAACCATGCCCTATACAACGAGTACATATCACTCACTCGTCACAGACCACTGATATCTTCATCAAATGTCAGTGCTTTATAACCATAATTCAAAATATTACCCTCTCTATATTGGCTTGGTGGGGGTTGGAGCGCTCTTTCTCTACCCCTTTTGCGATTCTTTGCGCATCAAGACGAGGGGGTGGTGGAGGGGTTGTAAGGATTTTTTCGGACTTGTGGCTTAATTAGACGAGTCGGTAATTAAATGATTGGCAATTAATTGTGAGCGCAGGACCGTAATCGTGCGTTTTTTGATCGGGCATCAATTATTCACGAGGAAATAATATTATTGGTTGGGGAACGATATAGATCAACAATTTCATTATTGCTTCGATTACGTTATTACCGCGTATTAATTTCGGTATTTTTCGATTGAAATCAATTAAAGTGATAGGGGGGTGGGGGGTGGGTGGTTGTTGTACTCGTATACATATGAATAAAAATTTTTGGTTGGTTGAGGGGTTTTTGAATTATTTATTGTTTAATTAATCATTTGAACGATTCGATGAGAGGGTAGCTATTAATGAAATAAAGTAGTCGGCAAACAGTGACAGTTCATTTGGAAAAAGTAGCTGTAGGCATTTCATCTCGAAAGATAAACGCACGTAGTGCATATATACAAGAGACGGAGGAAATAATGTTTGGAAGGTAGATTAATATTGAAGTTGGGTAAATAAAGAGCTTATCAAAAATTTAATTAAACGTCTCGGGGGGCGGCGAGAGGGGCTAAAGGGTGGGATCGAGACGAGATTTATTACTTTTATTCGAATTAAACAATTTTGTACATGAATGCATTTTTTAATGGTAGGCTTTGGTTAGAGCTTCCATCTAGGGGGAGAAAAAATGATTTGTAGAAATTATTGGATTATTTATCCAATAATTATAATAATATATATTTATATATTTATATA